ATACCTCTAACAATATGCATGTATGTATGGCCCAAGCAAATGGGGTATTGAAGTAACAAAACTTGAAATAACTAACTTAACCACTGAGTGGTGGCCCCGCCGTCAGTCAGTCAGTGAAATAAAAAAAAGTTTTTCATAAGTTTAGATATGCCCTTAAATTTAACTAAACTATACTGTAGTTTAGTATGAGAGAGAGGGGAAAGCCATTTAACATCGATGATGATGATGACCACCACTTACTTCCATATATATATATACTGTACCGGTATATACTGTACTGTACTTATAGTTTATATAAACTTTTATTAATGGTTTTATTTTCGCATAGTTTTCTCGCCACCACCACATGAGCGCACCTTTACCTGTACTGTACATACTGGGCATACATACTGTAGTCATATATTACAGTATATACTATACTAGGCCGGGGCATTATTGCCAAATATGGGCACACAAAAAAAACTAAAATTTATTCAAAAACTAAAATTCAACACAACATTTTAACAACAAACTAAATAAATAAATAAATAATAATAATAATAATAAATTTGTTTGAGTTAGTTGTTTAGGAAAAAATACAAACAACAAAAAAAAATCTAAAATTCATATTAATTTTTTTGTTATTTTATTTGTTGATCTCTCTCTCTTTCTCTCACTATCTCTCTCTCTCTCTCTCTCTCTCTCTCTCTCTCTCTCTCTCTCTTTCTCTATCTCATCAAAAACTATTAATATATATTATATATACACTTATACTGAATGTATATAAATATCTATATAGATATCTAACGAAAATAAAATATTAATCGTTTAACAAAAAAAATAATAAAGATTTTTTTTGTTGTTGTTGTATTTTATTTTACAAATAATAATTTTTGTGCCCAAAAACCAAACCAAACTCAACATTAAAAAAATATGTGAATAAATTTTCTTGAAATTTTTTTTTTGTAATTTATTTATTTTATTTTATTTTTTTTTGGTTATGTTTTGTGTTTAATACTATATATATAGTAAAAAAAAATAGTTTGAGATTTTTGTTGTTGTTGTTGTTGATGTTTAATGATTTTAATCATCAAAAAAAATAATAATAATAATAAATGCTAAAAGATAATGTTTGACAGATAATTTAAAAGATTTATATTTATAATAAAATAAAATTCAAAAAAAATAAATTAAAATAATTAAAGATATATATATATATATATAGTATATTATTATTAATTAAAATATTATATATAAGATATAATTTAGTTGTTTTTTATTTTGCGAAAAAAAACTACTAATTAGATAAGTTTTCTTCAAAAAAATTAAAAAAATAAATTAAAAATTAAATCTAAATGATTGCTATCTATGAATATTCAATTAATTATTTTTTATATATATATAATTTTTCTAGAATTTTGAATTAAAATTTTGAAGTTTTTTCAACAACAAAATGTTTAAATTTCACATTTTTTTGATAAAATCTATGTATTTTTTATTTTGTTGATTCAATTAATTAATTTATCTGACAAATCATTTTTGATTTATAAATATTAATCATTATTACTATTACTATACTAAAGTTATTAATGTAATAATAATAATAATAATAAATTCATGTCAATAGGAGATAATTGTAATAATAATAATAAAAATAGTCTCAAATTTTGTTTATTATCCCAATTTACAAAAAACTTATGTTATTTTATAATTATTATTATTATTTTACTTTTGTATTGGCTATGAAAAGATTTTTCACATCAAAAAACAAAATAATAATAATAATAAATAGTTTAATAATGAAAAAATTAAAATTTTTTAATGCTATTTAAATTTCAATGATTTATATATATATACTGTATATATATATATATATATATATATATATATATGTAATGTACTTAAGTATAACAAAAAAATTGCAGACAACATAATGGGTACCTTTTAAAAAAAATAAAATGTTTTTATTTTATTTATTTCATTGATATAAAAATTATATACTTTTTTTTATATATATATACTTATATTGAATTTGATTTTTTTTATTGAAATGTATAGTAATTATTAAATTCCCGACTAATCTATGGTATTGAAAGCTACAAAAAAATAGCATAACTGCTGTTTAAATAATTATTTTATTAAAAAAAATAATAATAATAATACTATATATAATGTGAACTAAATATTTCTATCAAAATAAAATGTTTTGTTGTAATATTACTATTACTCTATTATTATTATTATTATTATTAAATTAAGATAACAAATATATATATATATATATATATATTGTATTAAAAAATAAATTGATTGATTTATATAATAATAATTGAAATTTTATTATTGAATCTTTCAATAACATATATGGTTATTGAATATTGAAAAATTTATTTTTTGAAGTTTATATAATTGTTTCAAGTAATGTCAATTCAAACAATTATTTTTTATATAAAATAAAATAATACTTAATATATATATATATATAACAATGTTATGCGGCATAAACTTAGAGACGACATAATCAATAATAATAATAATAATAATAAATATTTCAACAAAAAAATAAAAAAAATAATAATTTTTTTTTCCAGTGTATATACAAGTCATTAAACTATTATGTACTGTATATTGCATTACACGCTATAAATTATAATGATATATACAGTCTATCTATAAACATAAAATTTGTATCATTAACTATATACTGTATATATATATATAATCATATATACAATCAATTAATTAAAATAAAAACTTAATTTTTCAAATATTCAACAAAAAAAATTTGTTTTCGGTTTTACGGTTTTTAAATACATATACAGTATTTAATATATATATATATATATATATATATATACAGTATATACTGTATATACAGTACTTGTTGTTGTTATGTTATGTTAATATAAACTAAAGTTTTTATAATTTATGCTCAGAAAAAAAATACTTTACTGTATTGTAAAATGTTTTTAAAATAGTTAATGTAATTTATATTGACTTTCAATATAACTATTAACACAAACGCAGCAAAAAATAAAAAAAATATAAACTAAACTCTGGTTTCAAATGTTATGAAATTTAAGAGTCAATCTCTCTCTCTCTCTCTCTCTCTTTGCTCTCTTTTAACTCTCTTTTATCGTCAACTCTTAAATTGTTGTATATATTTATGGCTTAGAAATAGTGGGGAAATATTTGGTTACAATATATCACTATTTTTGTTAGTGAAGTGACTTTAAAACTCTCAAAAATCTAAAAATATCTGTATATATGTATATAATATTAGTATATATTATATCAATATATATTAATATATGAAAAGTCATAGTTTGCGCAAAAAATTTTGTGTTTTTGTGGCTATTTTTGTAAACTGTTTGTAAAAACACATTGGATTTGAGGGGTGGGGTATGTAGAGGGGGGACATATACCCTCCCCCCCATAAAATGTGTTTGTGTGTGTGTGTGTGTAATAGTATGGAAAAGTTGAGCTTAAATTTCACACACAATATACCAAAAATACTTTACACAAAACAATAATAGTATAATAATAATAATAATAATAATACTATAATTTTGTAGACAATTTAAAAACATTTTAGGCGCACACATACATACATACACACACACATACACACATACACACACACATACATACATACATACATACATACATACATACATACATACATACATACATACATACATACATACATACATACATACATACATACATACATACATACATACATACATACATATACACACATACATACATACATACATACATACATATACACACACACATACTGTACATACACATAGACATAAAAACATGGCTATAAATTGTGTGTTTTTTAGTGGCTATAAATGTTTTTGCAATTTGCTATTACATATAAGCCATAATATAATAGTCTAACTAAAATAATAATAATAATAATGTTAACACTGGAAATACCTGGAAAATCGATAAAATAAAAAATAAAAAATTATGTATGCATTTAATACCATTGAATACCAGTGCGTTTTATAGACAGACACACATAATACACACACACACACATACATAGGCAGTGCCTATTATATATGGTACCGGTATATCATCAATCGGATAGATAGATAGATAGATAAGCTGTAAAAAGCGTTTTGAATACCCCTCCCATCCTAATTGTCAAACGACTGTCTCATCTCTCTCTCTCTCTCTCTCTCTCTCTCTCTCTCTCTCTCTCTCTCTCTCTCTCTCTCTCTCTCTTAATACTCTATCTATATATATATATATATACAGTATAAGAGTGTCTGAGTCCTCACGAGGGAGTCATAACTTATATGATTTATTTAGAGTTTATTAATATGTCTCTCTAACTGTGCGCTTATGTGCAACTAAGGAGATGATGAATACTATACTATACTAGAAAAAAAATTAGGAGAAGCGCTGCAACATTATTAGCAATAGTCAGCAGTTTTTTGTATGTGTGTGTTATTACTATATGTGCTGTGTTTGTCAAATTAAAACTAATAATAATAATAATAATAATAATAATAATAATAAATTTGATTGAATATGACTTTTTAGTTAGTTAGTAGTGTACTAGTAGTTAATACCACATAATAATTATTATATTTTTTAAATGACTAAACACATAATAATAATAATAATATGTATGGCACTGGTATGTATGGGTAGGTTAGGTTGGTTGACTTGAATGATAAGATATATAGATAATTACTATATATATATATATATATATATATAATTACAAACATATACATACATACATACATACATACTGTATGATTGTAGGCAATAGTTCAACAAACAAACAAAAAAAATCAGCAAAAAATAAAAATAAAAGCAAAAAAATAATAATAAAATAATTTTTAGTTTCATTAATATTATCTAATATCTAAACTCCTATCGGGTGGGGGTTGTTGTTGTGTGCCAACAAAATAATAATAATAATAGGCTAACTGTGCCCACAATACATATATATATATATATATATAGTAGTAATACTGTATATTACATAC